TTTTGATGCAACGCAGTTTGGGTAAGAATAAGATGCACTGAGAGGTCGTACTTTTGACTAAGATATTGGGCCTTGAGTCCGCAGTGTCCCCAACCACAGATTGATATTGGACACCTTCTGCGGCTTCCAAGCGACTTACCAAGCTCGAAGCTTGAAGAGGATGAGTTCAAATGTCTAAATCTCAATGTACATTGCCCATCATCGGTGTCCCAAGGCGAAGCTTCTTTGCCAGTAGTGTTATGGATTCACGGTCTGTGCTCGTGTATCTATATTCCTGTGCGCGAATCTGACAATTATCCCAGGAGGTTCGCAGGTAATGACATTCGGATCACCCTCCACAGCAGTCTTTGGTATGTTATATTGGTTTCATTGTTGCCTGTTGTTCTGAACGAGACAAGATCCCACAAGACTGGTTGTGCAATCTATTTCATGCGGCAAACCCATAATCTACGTCAGCTTTAATTACCGCTTGAACATATTCGCGTTTGGCGATGGGAAAGGGGAAGTGAACCTTGCGTTGCAAGACCAGCGACTAGCAATCAAATGGGTCAGTGACCATATTTCAGAGTTTGGGGGTGATCCGGTAAGTCCGATCTCATCGCTTGTATGAAATACTGGGAGACTTGGGCCCTGATATCTCTTAGAACAACATAACGTTAGCTGGCGAAAGTGCCGGGGCTGTGTACACACATGCACACATACTCACGAGAGCACCGGTGAACAGGGCCATCCTTGTGTCCGGCTCATTGTACCTCTCACCGCCTCTTCCACAAGCCATCGGTGCTGGTTTGGTACAGCGATTGGAGAAGGCAGTTCAAGAAGAAGAGAAAAGGTCATTACGGCATGCTTCTGCTTCATCCTTGGTAAAGGCTCTAACTACATGCGGCATCAATTCAATGTGGCTCCAAGATGAGCCGTCGTTCCATGGTTGGCAAGAGAAATTTGAGACTGTAAAAAGTCTCATGATCGGTGACGTCGAGTACGAGGTAAGTGGAATCATGGAAATTCAAGCTCCTCTGCTGACCTTCCAGTCTGTTTTGTGGAGGAATGGGATCGAAACAATGTCAGCCGACGAGATTGCTGACTGCTTTGCCGCCGCCGGCGAATACGCTCCTAATCTAAGCAGGCTTTACCACATCAATCGCAGCCGTCCCACACAATGCAAATACGGTGCGTTGGACTTCATTAATGATTCTCGCTTCGCACTTCCTGTAGACAGCATCGCAAAGCGCTGGGTACGAGAGAAGAAACCAGTCCATCAATTTGTGTTCGATGAGTCGAATCCTTGGCAGTCCTCCAGTCGTGCCCACCACGCCAACGACCTGAGTATTCTCTTTGGTGGTATCGACATCTCGCACAATCGAGGAGCTGAGCAGGTTGGTCACCATTTGAGAGAGAGTTGGATAGTGTTTGCCAATGGCGAATCGCCATGGCCTGCCGGCAAGATATATGCCTTTGGGCCCCATGGATTATGCATAGGTCTGAGCGATGATGAGTACTCACTGAGGCGAAGAACTATGTGCTTCGAATACCTGAGAGAAATGGGCCTTGCACCTGCGAATGCCGTGGTTGGACGGTTGGCTGCGGGACGTATCAGCCTATTGAACTGATAGAAATTTCGAAACGAATAGTATTTATTCTGCTGATCCATGCACGGCGACTTCCATGGACATGCTTGCACTGGTTCATAAAAGTAGTTGACCAGAATTGGTTTTTGCCGCCAACATGAAAAGGCCATTCAATGTAAGGCAGACCAGACAAGATACAACGCTCACTCACCCACCCACAGACCCCTTGAGACGGGTTCAACAGTTCCCAGCTAGAAAGCCGCAGTTGAAGTCGAAAGTCACGTGGTTTGGTATTATTATCATCGTCTTTCTGAGCATTACTTCGCACAAATCGCTATGCCCTATTCTTTGAGAGTATTGATTAATCTTGAAGAAAGGTGATTTTGTCGACGACTGCAATACTGGAGGTATTCGTTGTTGCCCAAAGGTGTAGCATGCTTTTTTCTAAGAGGGGTTTGCACTTCCAGTAAGATGCAGTGCTGGGTAGCGTAGAGGAGATAGACAGGGTATAGGGAAGGTGTTCGCTTCGTCAGGTTCGGGATCGCGACAGCGTTGAGGTTCGAATTCTGAGGCTAGGACGGTTTTGAGTCAGCAGGATAGCGAGGATTACCATACCACTTGGTACCTTATCTCCTCTCCGGCGGACGATCTGCAGATACCGCATTCAAGTCTTGAGGTCTGAAGTAAATGTCTCGTATCACATGAACCTCAGCTCGCGCAGCTTCTGCTTCCGAGGCTGCACGATCAGCACTCTGCGCCGGCGAGATGTCAAACACCTCTGGAAACTTGATCTTCGCCTTCAAGGTGGATTCGAAAATACACTGCTCGAGCAGACTCTTGACGGCGTTGCACTCGTTGTCGACATTATACTCAGCAATCAAGTCGCGAACTTCGGCCTTGGTCTGGTGGACTTGGATCAGCTTGCGAATCTTCTTATTCGTCCGAACATGTGCGTCTTTTCCTTTGAATATATTTTTGAAGGCGAGATATATCGACCTCTCGTCAGGAGTAATTCACGTCATCATGCCGCAGTCACTGGGCTGGGACATGAAACGGATGGACACCCACTTGGCACTCACAGTACACTAAAGCATGCGTTGCGGGGTAACTCTTGGCGGTTCCTGCTGAGCAACACCTTGCGCCTGAAGCAAATTCAGGCCCAATATGCTCTCCTCTCCTCAGGGCCTGCGGGCTAGCCAAACGATCATGGGTAGAAAGAAGGACGAAGGGCTGAATGAGTTGGACGAGGACGTAACTGATGTCAGCTTCTCTGCATATTGTCGGCCACCCCTGACCAGCCTGCAGGCATTTCACCTCAAGCCCGGTCCTCATATACGTAGGCTCAGAGAAGACGCCATACTATGCCCATTCGCAGGTCCTAGTGGATCGATGCCCATTCTATCGAGCGCGACATAATTTCACCGGAACCGTTTCCAGTGGGAATCAAGAGGATAACCCTCCGTGGGAGGAGCCACCACTGTCGACGTTTTCGATGTATTCCTCGAGTACTTATACACATCCACGTACACAACGCCTTCGCAGCTAGTGGCTGTGCAAGGATTCGTTCAGCCTTCATTGGAGTGCATGAACACCGAGATCCATTGCTGTTAGCACATGCGGCACGGGCTGGCAGTGGTGGGATGGAGGGGCAGATGTCAAATCTCAGAAAGGGAAAGATTCGAGGTGGAGGAACGTGAGTTTTGCGGGTGAAAATAAATTTAGTTGAATAAATGGCAGTTCCCCTTCGTCACTAGTGGTACTCAGCAGAGATATCCATTGAGACCTGCGTGATTATTCTAAATGCGACACGACCCATCGCAATCTTCCTAGCAGAAGCGGCATTATGTGACCACGGAGGCTGCTCGTTGTCTAGGGTCGTGCATGGAGAGCCTGATCAGTGGGAGATCATCTATTGCTACCGCTAGGATGGGCTGGAGCACGAGGACCACGAATGATGTGAGCTTTGAGGTAGCTTTGCTCGAGGAAACTCCGAGAAGGACGATGGTGGAATTACTACTGCATTAATGGAGCGATCTTTCTGCATCTCAGAGCTTTCGTGCCTGTGCTACTGGGCTCCTTTGGTATCGTCGACATCTTGGTACGCACGCAATGCTCCATACTCAGTCAGGTAATGTGCCCGCCAATGCATCGCTTCGTCTGGCGCAGACTAATTGCGAAGTCTCCTGATGGCGCAAGGTCTGTAGACAACTTCAGCTTCCGTAATGGAAAATCTACGCCGATGCCCTCCTTGAGACCTCGAGCTTTGTTCCAAATGAAGACCGGGCTGTCTTTTGTTGTTTCTTGTACAACCACATGGGCATCTAAGAGTTCCTGATATCAAATCCTGCTGCGCTGCGTCTCCACTGTTGTATTCGTGTCGAGGTTCTGAAGTTATGCAGAATCTAGTGAGTTGTGTCTTCTGCTAGATTGTCGCCAAACAATAGATTCTCCCATGCAGGATCGTGCGCTGTGAGCTGCTGCAAAATGTCATAATTGAGGTCTGGGTTCTGGTCCGGACGGTCCTGACGGTACTGATGTTGGCTCGAGTAGACTAGATCTACGCCCGTGGTATCTCCTGATACAAAACTAGACGTGTTTTCGAGATCTACATCCACATCGGATCGTCTGGTTGGAAAGGGTTCGGAGGTTGAACTTAAGTCAGGATCCGGGTTCAGCCTATATCTCTCTGTCGACCACAGAAAATCGAGTAGATGACCGTAGTGCGACGCTAGATCACTCGGACGTAGGCTGCTTTGCTTCAACCTTTTTATGGTTGCCCGTACTAGTACGTGCACGCGCACGATCTCCTGCTGCGGGACGATCTTCAGGGTGAGGATCTGGAAAGGGTTGTCAGTCTTCACCCTAGCAGTCTCTTAGAAAGGGTCGGGAACCTTATATAGAAGCACAGCACAATTGACAGCGTAACTACGTAGTGTCAGCGGATGAAAACTTCTTGGCGAACATACTAACAGAAGGAATCGGATAGGTAAATAATTGAAAGGGTTTCCGGGGGGTATGTGATTGTTTAAAATGGCGAGGAACGTTTTTGCAGCGTCCAGAGACTGCAAGAAGAAGTCGTCTGTAGACGAAAGTCCGGACGCAGTTTGATCGATAGAGCAACTATCATGATTCCCAGCCCTGTCGCGAAAAACGAAAGCATTTGCGTACAGTCTTAAATACTCAAACGACAAGTCCAGCTGGATCTTCACTTGTGTTGGGTCTGTGAACATTAGTACGATAAGGCTCGCGCTCAACGGGAGACACCGTGGGCAACGGTCCTTTGAGCGAGCAACTTACAATCAACACCGCCCCACTTAGTCTTCCATGCAGTCATGGCTGTTCGAAACTCATTGAGCCGGGGGTCGCATATCTGGTCCTGCAACGTCCTGCTGGCATCGATCTGTCCACGATAGAGATGTTGATGCACCTCGCTATAGATTGAGGTAAGCTCTAGGCGTGCTTCCAGTATCTTAGCTTGATCAGCGTTGCTCGTTTTGCATTTCACATTCCTTCGGTGAGTGTCTGCAAACAGAAGCAGTCGGGCCAAAAATGCCGGAGTTGTGCCGTGAAAGCCAAACTGTCGGCCTGTACGAATAGAGATCTGGCGGTCGGACAAGAAGCAAGCTACAGAAACACAGACAGGTCAGCGGTAGCTGGAAGAGAAGACTTGTCTCTTACCGACATAAGCCAAAGCCTCCCTTGTAATTTGATCCGCTGGTTTTTTAGACTCTTCGGGAAAAGCCTGCTCCAGGTCCAAGAAGGAAGCTATTCGAAGTGCCAGACCAATATGCATAAACGCAGCAGTGTCTTCGCCACCGCATCTTCTGGCTGTAGAGTCCAGGAGGGAGTATTGAGGTTCCCATTCTGCTAATAAGAGTGTAGCCTCGAGAGCGTCCACTTTGCATCGTATACCTAACATTATCTCACCCAACAAGATTTGCATGTACTGGGAGCAGCTCTGTAGTATACGATCGTTAGCTCCACGAATGTCCTGTGCGGCTATTGTTATCATCGCCGTAAGAAGAACAGGCTCGCAATTCGCCATGTTCGCTAAATTCTCCCGGCATAGTGCCTTCCGTGGAATGATTGGATAGTAGGGACAATACACCTCAGCAAATCTGCAACCACTTAGTTTTACTTCAAAAAACGTCCACGGCTTACCGTTCGAGGAGTCGTGCCAGCTCTGGAAAGGTCAACTGACCAGACGAGATAAGAAAGTATTCCGAGCAAGGCGTCACAGGATCCAGCGCGGCTTGCACATGCGGACTGGCCAGTTTAGAGTAGACATTCAGCCTGCCGTTTGGGGAGTCCGCGGCAGTAGAAGCGCCAGTGATGCTCTGAACAAAATTCAATATGTCTGCAGTGCCATGAAGGTCGCCAGCAGAAATGATACCATCAATGTCAGTACCACCGCGACGTTCACCTGCTCCTCCGAGACTCGCTGTAGGTGAGACGCTTGCGAATGTGCGATCCGACAGGTGCAAGTCAACTTGGTCCGAGAGGCGTGAATCGACTTGGTCTGATGCAGGAAAGTGCACTCGACTGTGCGGGAACCCGAATGACTCCAGGCCACTCTCGGCTTGCTGTGGGCGCGATTGCCTTCGTGTTCGTCCTCTATTCGATGTTGCAGGCACGCACTCAACGCCAGCTTTGTAACAGTTTTCGCATGGGCATGACTGTTCGTGGTCTATGTGGGATCTGCGATCGGATTCTCCTGTCAGCATTTTTCTATTCCAGCAGAACATTGTAAATTCTGCACGTACAGGGTACATTTTATTTTCGACACTCTGCATCGAATACAGGCTCTAGAGCATCGCTTCCCCGCCATCCACGACCAACGCGATCTGCTAATTCCTCAGACTGCTGTGCTTGTTTCCAGTTTGGGCGCAGTGCGTACCGAACTATCACAAGGAGCGGACGAGACACATTACAGGATTCTGAATGAGATCTTGTAGGTGACGGCTAATATTCTGGAAGTACGTACGGTGGTTAGATGCGACAAGAAGACATGGAGTTTAGAACCAGGATCAAAGTAGGTAGTAAGGCTCAGCAACGGAATACCTAAGTTGTTCGTGGAGTGGGAAGTGGAAGAGATTCCCCTCATCAAGCTGACGCCACTCCTGGTACATACCTGAAGGCAGGTAGTGCGGAGGTTTATCCTCGGGTATTGGAGAGCGCTGTCCCTTTTGGAAATGTAGGGGTGTTATGGAGCTCATCCTTTACCGGAAAGCGGCAACTGAACCGGCGTTTGGTTCAAAAGCCGTTGGATGTGGGAACCGTATCAATCGGCAAAACTTTGACACTACGTGTCAGACTGTACGCGGAAGCAATGATGCTGTCGAATGTCGGCCTTGTGAAGAGCATTCCTGCTACAACTACAAGCAAATGAAAGCTAAGACACAGGGTTGGCAATTTGCAAAAGCAATATGAATTCACCTGAGTCTGTGAGTGCTTCAAAAAGACTCGGCATAGATTTGTGCTTTCAGAATCAACTCATCTCATCTTTCTGAGTGTATGGTTTCTTCACTTTCTTACGAGTGGAAAGAATCCAGGCTTTGAACTACAGATATATGAGCTTTTCTTCTTACCATCCACACTCAGTCGTCGAATAGACTTGTGCAATTTTGAGCGGATCGAACAGTGGAAAATAGCAAATCACAATTGCAAATGCAGAGAAGAGTAAGTTACCGATTCGCGAAGCCGAGACCCGATGGCCGATAATGCGACTTGTTCGGCATTGCATTACATACCGAAAGTGTTAGTGTCTTCGGCCGTTGGATGAAATCTATTTTGCCGGCTCCTTCATAATAGGCACTCGAGCCGTTTGTTACCAGCAGCTTCTCGAGGACCTCCAGGCTTAACATCACCGTGCTTGTCCCAAGCTCTTGCAGTAGTACGTGGTTGCTGGCGCTGTCATGGGCTCATCTTCAAAAAGCTTTATTAATTTTCACCGCCAGTTTCATGCAATCGCAGGGGAGACACCTCAGCTGTCACTCTGTATGCACACACCTGAAGCTCCTTACTTCCATGAAGCTGGTGTGTATATTGAATCATCTGGAGAGTTGTTCGTGACCAGCAACCGCCACGTCGGGTCTGGTGGCGAACAAGGCGTCTTCATTTCCAAGATCTCCACCACGGGTCCGTATCTTCGGCAGGATATAGCTGCCCCGGGCATTTCAATGGCAGCGGGCGGCATCAGTTATCGTGATGGTGTTCTATTCTGTGCTCAAGGGGATCATGATCATGCCGGCGGCCTCGTTTACATGGACGCTAAAGCTCCTCATGAGGCAGAGGTCATTCTATCGTCCTTTCATGGAGTGCCGTTCAATTCTGTCAATGATGCAGTGGTGGCAGAAGACGGTGCAATCTGGTTCACGGATCCTATCTACGGCTATGAGCAAGGTTATCGAGGTTATCCAAAACTGCCTAGCCAAATTTATCGGTACGATGTGCTCACAAAGAGTATACGTGCTGTCGCGGATGGTTTCGGGAGGCCGAACGGAATTGCATTTTCGCCGGATGGGAAAATTCTGTACATTACTGTAGGTCTTGCGTTTCGTCCAATTTGATCGCTGGAACAAGCTGACACCTCTCACAGGACACAGATTATATACATGGGGACGGGTCAACGGATCAAACGAGGGCTTCTACTATGTAAGTCTCTGCCTCTTTAGAAGACCGACGAGATTAACCGTAGCTCAGCTACGCTTTTGATGTTGTCAAAATTTCAGAAGAGCCGTTTCTGATCAACAAGCGCCTCTTCGCTTTTGCTGAGGGTCGCGCCCCAGACGGGATAAAAGTTGACACCAAGGGAAATGTATACAGCGGATGTTTGGACGGAATCCATATCTGGTCTGCTGGTGGGGTGCCGTTAGGAAAAATTCTTATACCTGGTGGAGTGGCTAATTTCTGCTTCGGCCGCGAAGGTGAGATCTTCGCTTTCAACGAATATCGTTTATGGAGAGTGGGATTGTCATCGTCGGTGAAGGGGAGTATGCCAAGGAGTAGAGATCAGTAACGGATGTCCATAATACATATCAGAACTCTTTCATACAACATCATCGTTCGTATTTGCCTTGCAGCGAACAACACAGTCTACACCTGCGCAGTGCCTTCACGCGAATGGAGAACTCGTTTTACACAAACACGTCCGCGATTCAGAAAGCAGTTACATCTCACCAGATCGCTGGTTCGGGATCGATTTATGTCGCAACTATACAATGTCTATTATACGCCGCGATGTATGACCGATCATGAGCGGTGTAACCTATCAAATGGACCAAGATCGAAGTCTTCAGGCTGGATGTCCTTCCCACCTAGCAGTCCATAATACCATGTGGTATCGCGCTATGACTGTGTTAAGATATGAATGGAAAATGGAGAGGAAGCAAACATACCCCGTCATACTCCCTGACATGAAATCCATTACCCAGATAGCTGAATCTGTTGGGTCCTAGGTATTCGATCTCGTAGTCTTCGAACCTTGGTCGCTCAAGGGTCGAGAGAGCTAGTTCATCGTCAAAAATCTGGGCCCACTGACTTTCAGGATAACGCAAATAGAGCGAGACTCACAGTGAACCCGAGAACCGGGCCAGACCATGGGCTTGTTGCTCTGTCCAGCTTTAAACCACGATGCACATTTACTGCATACAAGTAAGTCTCGGGGCTGAACAACAACAATAGATAGTCTCGACGTACCCAACCCAAGCTGTATGCTTGATGAATTCGTCAGCGTGTGCAATAAATTCCTCACAAGCCCTTCGAGACGGTTGCATCGACTTTATGTTTTCCGCTTGTACTTTCTTGATGACTTGCAGAAAGTAGTTTGTGTAGACTTCGATTGCCGGCAGGACAGAGCCTTGAGCTTAAGTGTATGAGTCAGCACCGAAAGGGATGTCCGATAGACTGTGAAACACACTTATAGGTGAGTAAGCGCCTTGCACAATGAAATAATTCGGTACTTCGGCTGGTCGTTCAAATCAGTCAGCAAGGCCGTTGTATCAAATCTGAATGTTGAAGCCACTAACGTGCCGCAAGACTGAGATATGTGCTTGGCTCCAGCTCAAACTCGTTTTGTAAATTCCTACCACGCGCGTAAATTGGGTATCTAGGCCTGTAGGAAGTGTCGAACCTGCCAAAAAGGATTAGAGTTGATGATCCAACCGACCAAGCTCGGTAGTTTACCCTGTTGCACAGACGATAACACCCACTTCAATGGTCTCACCACTCTGCAGACGAATACCGTTCGGGACGATTGCTGCTATCTGTTCACTGAGAACTGTGGTTTTGTCCATCACTAAGGCTTCCAGAAATCCTGTTCGCGGGATTAGAATAGTTAAGTAGAGAGCGTCAAGTGAGGAGTTACCATTCCCGGGAGTGGGACGTCTGCATCCAAAATCAAAGGTTTGTGGAATCATCTTCTCTATCAACTCCGGCTTCTTAGCTAAAGCCTTGGCCATGTGTGTTTTCGAAAACTTTCGCCAGCATTAGTATGCGCAAACTCGTTGAAGTGCAAGCGGTGTTACCTCCTTTGCCTTGAGCGCTTCCGGAGTCCCAGTCAGATTTGACTTGAAGCCTTTATTCAATTCGATTTCTATAGCTTTCCGATAGTGCAAGTAGTAGTCCGGATCTTGTTCGAATTGTTTTTGCATTTCTGGCGGATCTGTGTTTCATCAGCATTATAGCACTATTCTGAGCGACGTCACTTACAAGCAAAGTTCGTTCCGTCACTGCTGGCAAAGCGCGACGCGAAACTTCTATTTGTTATTTCGTGTTCTTTGCGTCATGCAGTATCTTACTTACCCAGAAGTGATCCATAAAGGTGAGCGCTGTGGGACGTCAGTAAATGTCCTGTCATACGCGCAAATGCACGGTCTTGTGGACGAATTTACCGAGGCAACGTAGAGATGATCCACATCATCAACAATCGAAGGAATAATCTGTACCCCAGAACTGCCGGTACCTATGACACAAACGCGCTTCCTCTGTAGATCAGCGGCTTCATTCCAGTCTGCAGAATGCAACAGCGTTCCCTTGAAGCTGGTGAGCCCTGGAATAGATGGCCATTTCCAGTCACTGAAGAGTAAAATCAGTCAGCTCCTTAGAATCCATCATCGGGATGATATACTTCAGCAAACCACCTCCATGGATGAAGAAATGGGCGTAATCAACAAAAACGTCTGCAGGGTTGCCATGGCGTCGAATGGAAACCTTCCAGAGTCCTTCTGTCTCTTCCCATTCCGCGCCCACGACTTCGTGATTGAACTTCGCATATTTCAGCAATTTATGTTCGTTTGCGACTTTGCGGAAGTACGCCAGAATTTCTTTAGCACCAGCATAATAGTGTGACCAAGTAGATTGGGTTGCCCTAGATCAAATGAGCAATAGATCGCCTGCTAAGAGCAGATACAGAGCTCACCAACTGAATTGGTACCCGACACTGGGAATGTCGCAGGCGCATCCCGGGTAACGGTTCTCGTACCAAGTGCCCCCTAACTGATCCTGACGGGCTGTCAGACAAGCTATCTTTCGCTTCCAAAGATGGGGAGTGCATACATTTTTTTCATAGATCTGGAGCTCAACCAGTTCCGTTTGCTGCTGAAGTTGGTATGCGAAGTTTATTCCACTTGCGCCCATGCCAACAAATATCACCTTCAGTTCTCTCTTGCTGCCCATAGGGTGTTCTGGAAGAGTGTATGTCGGTCGAGGCTTCGAGTAGAGGGGCAACGATTCAGGAGTAGACACCCCTGCGATCGGGAAATCTATATTAAATCCTGTCAAATCCATGTCGTAGCCACAACCATTGCCGCCGTCAACATACGCACCACCTCCCATTGTGTGCCCTTCGCTATTTGCGTCGATTGAGTTGCTACGTACGACTGCCATGATACCTGTGAGTCCTGAGGGATTGCAATAGCAAGTGCGGCAAGACAGGTTTTTCAACGACTCGAAGCCGTGTCCAGTAAGTATGCGCCACGTGACGCGTTTCGACTCGACCCGGAGTGACATTTCGCAGCCGACGCCGACTGATACGGCAATCATATCGGCCATTGCTGAGAACGAGCAAGAATGACTCGGGTATGAAGCTGGCTTGGCATCTACAGTCGGCCCGAAGATTAACTTTAATCTCCCAGAAGATCCCGAATCCCGATCACCATACCGATTTCCCACATTTGCGGGGCTCCACACATCAGAGAAGCCGAGATTGAAGAAACTGGGGATCGTGAGTATAAAGGCACCTGCTTCGAGTTAACTTGAGGTGTAAGTACTCTCGTCAACGTAACAAAGAATCACGACATGATGGCATCATCCTTGCGCCCAGAAACAGCGGATAAACTCGGTCTGAAAGGAAGGCCACTGATAATAGTCCTGACCATTGCGTGTGGACTGGGTCAATTCCTTCATGGTAAGCCGTTAATAGACTGAAAAAGTGTGCTCGAAGCTGATGATGGTCAGGCTATGACAACGGCGTCCTTGGTGGTCTGCTTACGGCACCCAGTTTCATTGATCAGTTCCACCTGAGTGCAGCACTGGAAGGCACAGTTACAGCTTTATTTCAAGCTGGCTGCGCACTGGGCTGTTTCGCAACAAGCCTGCTGAGTGTGCGTTTTGGACGCCTGACGTTGACACATACTGGCAGTCTTTGCATCTGCGTTGGTGGAGCATTGCAAGCTTCGAGCTTTACAAGTGGACAATTGATGGCTGGCCGCGTGATCGCTGGTATTGGTCTCGGAATGATTACATCGTCGGTATCTGTCTTGCAGTCCGAAACAGCTCCTGCGCGTATCAGAGGCAGACTGATTGCCATGTCGCTTTCCTCCCTCCTTGTTGGACAACTGCTGGCTTACTGGTTGGATTACGGCATGAACGCATACACCACCGACATTTCCTGGCGCTTTCCATTGTCGTTTCAAGCAGTGATAGCGCTCATAATGAGTGGATTGCTGTTGTTCATGCCTGAATGCAAGTCCAATATCCGTTCATTGGCTCGAAAAGCTCTAACCTTCTCAGCGCCTCGGTGGCTGTGTCAACGCGGTCGTGAGGCTGAAGCCCTGAAAGTCATCATGCGTCTACGCAACAAGGATCGTGACGACCCCGCAGTCATACTTGAGGTGGCAGAAATCCAGGCGGCTATTGAGCTCGATCGCCACCAATCCGGCTGGCGTGACCTGGTGAGAAAGGACGCTGTGCAAACTCGGACTCGAGTTGCACTTGCATGTATGGTGATGTCCATGAATCCTTTCAGCGGTAGTACAGCAATCAGCTACTACACAACGGTCATGTAAGTAAAGCACGTCTCATGGTTGCGGATCCGAGCTCATCTTCTCCCAGCTTTCAGATTTCCATAGGGATGACCAGACATACGGCTCTTCTCACATCAGGTTTCTTACAACTATGGTTCCTTTTCGCGTCTCTTGGGACCTGGATCCTCATCGAGTTCGCCGGAAGGCGGCGTATGTTCATGGTGAGTGCAGTTGGCATGGCAATCGCCATGACGGTTCTTGCTGCTACGCTCGCAACAGGCTCTCATGCAGCAAGTATCGTGGCCGCTGCCATGATTTTCGTGTATCAGGCCTTTTATACCTGGGGTTGGATGGCTGGAGTCTGGGTAAGTCTCCTTGAGAACCTGAAAATCCTATAGGCTGACAAGTCTTCAAAGACGTATACACCAGAACTGCTTCCCCTCAAATATCGTGCCAAAGGCATGGGTCTAGCTTCGACATGCGTATATGGTCTGACATTCATGATTCTGGAGGTGGTCCCTATCGCAATCCATAACATTCATTGGAAGGTGTTCATCCTCTTCGCCGTCTTCAACGCTTGCTTCGTGCCGATCACCTACTTTTTGTTACCGGAAACTGCGGGGCTCAGCTTAGAAGCGATTGACCTAGTTTTTACAGATCCAGATACTTCCTCGGTCAAGAAGGCCAAGGCTCTGCGAAAGTCCGGCGAGGACATGCATCTTCGAGAGGTGCATCTTGACGACGTCGAAATCATCTCAGCTACACCAGGCGTCAAAGGAGATAATTAATGCTCAGAATGCCGTTGATCGCAAGGTCTCAATGAATGGAAACATCCAATCTGAACAATCAAATAGGATCAGTGCTGCAAATCTGAGATTAAACGGTCTACGGTGTTATTTATATCCCTGAATCTCTGTGTCTACAAGCGCTTGAAATGTGGTTGGAAGAAAAGTGGAGTAGTCGAGAAATTCCACAGAGCGATGCCGCCAACGACTGTATTATTTAAGATGGAGTCCCAACGGCAGGCCTGCATCTGGTGATGGTGCATAGTCGACCTGGTCTCCTGTTCTGCCCAAAACTTGCCATATTGGTTGGCCATTGCTTCATTTAGGTACAGTGTGATGGAGATCGTCTTCATTAGCAGATGGACAGAGGGAAAGGTGAGAGATGGGTAGCTTGGGTACGTACTCTCCACGCTGGCTGAGGCGTGGCGGCGCCCTCGTGGTGGCTCGCGGCGACCAACCTTCCAAGGGCGGTCTCAGAAACTCATCAGCTGCAACAGCCAACCGCCCAGGCAGCTCAGCGATAAAAAGTACAGACACACAGAACGAACTCGAGGGGGCCCGTGGATCACGTTAGGGGGTCACGTCCACGGTACGAGCATACACCTGCGCAGACGAGTGAATATTGTCACACAGAAGAAATGGAGGACCGGTAAGGGCCTGACACGTACATAGACACAGAACCCTTGAAGTTCAGAGTTGGGAGACTTCTACTTCCTAAACAAGTAGAAGAAGATGAAGAAGTAGAAGAAGAACAAGGATCAATCTATGCTTCCACTGCCATGATTCACAACAGTTCTCCGGTACTGTACTGTATCGACCTCTTTCTTTTGTTTCCTATGTCTGATTGATTGATTGATTACTGTTGAAGATTCAGTTCAGATGCCCTCCGACGTGGGATGATAGGGAGAAAGATTAGTCATTTCTTGGTCATCATTGTAAATACATTTCGGAATCTCCCTCTGAGAGGGTGTATATATATGTGCAGGACGGAGCCATGATTGTGAAGACAATAACAACGAATTAATGGAAAAACATCTCGAGCCTGAGCATAATCTCATATCCTCAACAAGACTTCAATCGGACGGAGAATTTTCGCTCCTTTTGCCTATATAATAGATAGGAATCGACCTCCTAGTGATCGAGGTCAGACTCGTCAATATATCTCATTTAGCCCTCTGACATTGCCTATTCCTGCGTGTTGCATAACATATATTCTATAGTGATCAGTGCTCCTCAGTGTATCTTGTTACGAATCGGACCGACGCCCTGGGGCGTCCGTGCGCTCACGTAGGTTCCCTAGCTGGGGCACAGTGGTGTCTATAGCAATGGTAGCATTGAGAACCATAGGGTCCGACTATAGACTTAGGTTGACCACGAAGGTCCTATCTACTATGAGTAGAGAGCGTTGTTTATATGGTTCCCCGTCTCTTCCTGTCGCGTCGTTGTATAGGTGTGGAGTTGTGGTGGCCCTCCGCCTCACCAACACACTCCCACACCACTGTCTCTTCCTATCCTGGAAGTCACGTGTTTCCGTTTTCTCTGTGCGACATTCCTCGCCTTACTTTCCCTCTTCGTGGTTCGCTGTCACGGGGTTGTCCTCGGCCTGGCCCAGCGGGCCAACTTGTAACATATCTCAGCGTTTCTCAGTGTGAATCGCCCTGATTCCTACTGATTTAGGCTAATCCTCACTGATTCCACTAATCGCGATTACGTGACGCCTAGTTAATCATTCCAGGTCGCTCGCTCGACCTGCCGTCCGTGATTCACTGGCTGTCGTCACAGCTTTATATGTGACCTGCACGCAGGCCGACTCGAAACACCTAGTATTTTTAGACTTATAAGTGTATAGTAATATTAAAGGGGGTATTAAGAGAAAAAAAGCGATTTTTAGATACTTTAGACCTTATACTTACTATTCATAATAAAAAACGAGAAAATGTTTGATGAGTTCCAAGCAGTTTTCGAAAAAAAAGATTACATGGAACCCTGTTGAAGATTTGATCCAGATACCTTCGGATGTGGGAGATGACAAGGAGGAGGATTAGTCATTTCTTGGTCATCATTGTAAATACGTTCCAGCCTGCGGAATCTCCCTCTGAGAGCGTGTATATATATGTGCAGCATGGGAGCCATGTTTGTGAAAAAAAA